CCCCCCCCCCACACGCCCTTTTCAAGGGTTAGTAGGTCTTGGCGGTTTAAACTAGTACACTTCACAATTAAACCGTCTTTACAATGAGACTCGTCAAATTCATAATTTTAGGGATAGAAAACCGTACGTTTGAATTTTTTCTCTCTCTCCTATATTAATTGCTCTGCTTGAAAAAAAAAATAACCGTTCTCAGAAGAAACAAAAAAACGTGAGAAGAGAGTAAAAACAGGGGCTTTTTTCAGAAGGTGGTTCTGTAGCATGGGCCTCTACTGTTTAACTCTATTCTCTCGGAGGACGAGCCATATGGAATCTATTCCCCATGTGATGTTTTCTATCAATACAGTGGACAAACGGATACCCGTCTTGCCCTTCCTTCAATACATATCCATGTGGGTCAAATCTTATATTTCATAATTTTTTTTAGACAGCTAACGCGTTTTGTACCATCCCACTTAAGGACATTGGATACAGAAATTATCTTGGACGGCTCTTTGAAAACCCCAAAATTATTTCTCTCGAATCTAAGATTATGAATTCTGAAGTCACAATTTTTGTTTAAAAAATTATTGGTAACCAATTTAATGCGTAATAATAGCGCACGGAAACAGAGGAATTACATAATGCCCACATCCCTGTTCGTCGTTGGCGGAAACCAAGGGTTTTTCTTATTGGCTTCCCATAGATGGCATCTAAAATAAGTCCGAAGAATATAATAATATCTTACATGAGATATTTAGGCGGACTTAGGTGCCTCCTGAAACCGAAATCTAGACAGCGGATAATGACAACTATTTGGAATTTAATGGCATAATTTGAGGTTTGGATTACCTGGATGAGACGGGGTTCAAGGTGCGGGCTAATCCGTTTAGGGCACTGTAACCTTTGGAGCTGAACCCTAGGCAGCCGAAAAGTCCATGCTTGTACGGCAAGTATGTTCTCTTCTTCATCTCCTCTGCCTGAGCTCTGTTCGCCGTGTAATGCAGCTCGTGGGCTGACGGCTGTATTCCCCGCCGCTTCGCTATGCCCATTTTCGCTTTTCCGGCCACCGGAGATTTCTTCGCCGGCGCTTGTTTCTGCTTCTGCTTCTGGGTTTCAGCGGCGGCTGCGTTTGCGTTCGCGGGGTTTTCTGTCCCTGGAAGTGGTTTCTCTTCCTTGGAGATGGTCAGAGATGGAGATTTCAGCTTCTTCTCTTTGGACGGAGAGAAGGAAATGTTGGACCAGAACTTCTCCTTCGCGTTCCCTCTTCCTTCGCTTTTGCTTCTGTGCAGCAGATCCTTGAGGAATATCCACTTCTTGGAGTTTCTACCGGAGGACAACGACCGGGAAGATGAAGCAGAACAAGACGGCGTCGTTTCAATCGACAGAACGGTTTCGTTCAGCTTCGTCTCCTGCTCGTAATCGTCCTCCAGCTTCCGAAGGCATTCCTTTACCTCTCTCTCCCTGACGCGCCCTTCTTCTTCTTCACCTACTTCTTCGTTCCACTCATACACTGCGTTTCTAAGCGGAGAGAGAGATCTTGCCTTCCGATGAACCGATCTGCTCCTCAGCCTCAGATCTCTCCCTCTCTTAACCACTTCACCGTCCCGCTCCGCTTCTTCGCCGTCTCTGTCGTCTTCCTCCTCAGTCTCCAGATCTAGCAGCGGCGCCAAGATCTGAGCCTTCTGTAGATGCGATGAGAGCTTCATCGGCTTGATCTGACCGTTCGAAAATAGTTCATCGGCGGAGCACATGGATCCACGGCCGAGGGGACCACTGTTCGACGACCGAGACGAAAAGTCAAACTCGAAGTCGCACGACGACGACGAGTCGATCTGCGGATACTCCAACGCTGGACGAGCGGCAGACGACGAAGCAGAGTATAGAACGAAGTGCATGGGACTCGCAGGAGCGCTGAAGAAGAATCCCGGGGAGGGGCTGCGGCCGGGGCTCGATGGAGCGCTGACGAAGGGCGTGGAGCAAACTGAATCGAGGTCGTCCATGAAAGGCGACGTTAGGAAACTGTCGGTTGGCTCAGGGTTGCCATGGCCGAGGCTCTGTGACAGAACCATGAAGAAATGGACGAAGAAACAGGAAGATGGAGATGGATTGGGACTGTGGCTGCGGAATTTTTAGCTTCCTTGACAAGGAATAGAGCGCGCGGAACTAGGCGATGGGCATATATTCTCCCCTTTTACTCAGAGAAAGAAATTCCAATAAAATAAATTTTCTAAAGATTCTATTTTAAATAAAAGCAAATAGTTCGCGATTACATGATCTCACTCTAGTACGGATGAATGATTTCAGCAATCGTTATAAATAATTAACAATGAAAAGATAATAATCTATTAACGTACGATTATTATTCGTATGATGAGCAATTATTGTTTCCTAATTAATTGGATTTTAATTTTATGCCCTCGAAATTCGACAGGATGATCCAGAATGAACTAACAAATTACTGGTGTGCCCGTGGGCTTCTCGTTTAAATTACCTTTATACCCTTTTCTCGTTTTTTTTTTCATTCTCAGGATTCATAGAGAACAAGTACAGAAGGATCCACCGAATTAAATGCATTTTACCATATTTAACTTGGGAGTTGTATGTAAAATTGGGGAGGTGGGTGGCTGAGTTGAGTTGGTTGTTTCTTCAATTTCGACCAAAATATAATAATCCTAATATTAAGGGAAAAGATCAAAGGAAGACAACAAATAACCAACAAAAATTAAGGCCAGACATGCATGGTAATATGCGTAAACTGTGAAGGGGCATTTTTGGCAAAACGTTTACGGACAAGACGGGGCGGCACGTGCTAAGGCCATTGCTTATTAGTAGGGGTGTCAAAACGAGCCCGGCTCGCGAGCTGGCTCGTGGCTCGCCAAAAAACGAGCGATCTGAGCCGTAATTTTTTCAGGTCGTTAAAAAACGAGTCTAACGAGCCAGAGCTCATTGAACACGTGTTCAATGAGTCTGGCTCGGCGAGCTGGCGAGCTGCTCAACGAGC